GCCTATTGGCACTGTATGTGCAACACTAACACCGAAACGCGTCTAGGGAAGTGAGAGGGAACGCGAGCGTAACCCTTCACGGCGGAGGGTCGAGCAGACACTGTCGGGCCCCGTGAGAGAGGGAGAACAGTGGGGGGAGGGGGGAGAGGGGCTGCCATTTCTGCAAAGTTGCCATTCATTTCTCTATCAGTTTATTTTTTTCTTGCCTTATGTTCTCAACTTTTTATAAAACTAGAAATGGGATGGGGAAATGGGTTGTATATTCGATATAACCGGCGGTGTTTTCGCCGTGATTGCTTACGTTTTGAGGCGGCTGGAGCGTCGTAATCACTTATCAACCCAAGAGTTCGGGTGCTACTTACGAAAATAATATATATATTTTTTCCCCCCTTAAGTTTAGCAGGCAGTTTTACTGTCATCGTTGACGTTGACTTTACATTAACAACACATTACACATCTGGATATCTTAAAACTGTAAAATATACACACAGATATCGAAAATCTCTTATAACACACGGCCATGTGGGTAGTAGCAGCCTAAATGTATAGTTTCAACCTTAAACATTCTTCATATAATACCCCTACCGTCTTTATCATTATTCATATATCAGTTATTTCTAAGTAGTCGCCAATCTTCCCTCATAACCGATGATATGCGACATCAAAACTAGACAATTTAACCGGCGGGAGTGGATATACTCTGCCAAAAATGTTGGCCCCTCAGCATACCTTGGTTGATGCTATGATCCCTGGCGAGGTCGTCCGGCGCCACCGCTGGGGCTCCACAAGGTTATCATAAGATCATATTGTACCGTGTCACTCAACTTGTTATTCTCAGTCTGGGGTCATGCTCAGTATCCCTCCCTGGTGTGCTCTCTTGTGTTCATGTGTTCCATGGTTGGTCTAGAGCGATCTTGGCGATGTTTATACACGCTACAACAACCGTGGAACATGTACGTACTAGAGCAACCTTGTACCATATACATACACCCTTGGAACATATACATACTAGTGTAGCATTTGGAACATATACATACTAGAACAACTTTGGAACATATACATACTAGAGCAACCTTGTACCATATACATACTAGAGCAGCCTTGGAACATATACATACTAGAACAACTTTGGAACATATACATACTAGAGCAACCTTGTACCATATACATACTAGAGCAGCCTTGGAACATATACATACTAGAGCAGCTTTGGAACATATACATACTAGAACAACCTTGGAACATATACATACTAGAACAACTTTGGAACATATACATACTAGAGCAACCTTGTACCATATACATACTAGAGCAACCTTGGCACATATACATACTAGAGCAACCTTGGAACATATACATACTAGAATACCCTTGGAACATATACATTTTAGAACAACCTTGGAACATATACATACTAGAGCAGCCTTGGGACATATACATACTAGAACAACCTTGGCACATATACATACTAGAGCAGCCTTGGAACATATACCTACTAGAGCAACCTTGGCACATATACATACTAGAGCAGCCTTGGAACATATACCTACTAGAGCAACCTTGGCACATATACATACTAGAGCAGCCTTGGAACATATACCTACTAGAACAACCTTGGAACATATACATACTAGAGCAGCCTTGGAACATATACATACTAGAGCAGCCTTGGAACATATACGCACATTAAACAACCCATTTTCTAAACATGAACAAAGAGCAATTATTGGCCGAACGTACAAAAATGGACTGTTTGTATCCCAAAACTGTTCGCCTTTTGTACTACTGGAATACCTTGAACGGCATGCAAAAAAAGTGGAACAGTAACTACACATAAACTTAACCTGCCCTAAGTTTCAATATGCACGCCTAGCATCGTAGGCCTAATTTAGTACGCATAGTGCTGTACTAGGATTAGGAAATCTTAGGTCTGAATGTTTCCTTCTTTCTTGTGCTCTCTATAAAATTAACAGTAAAAAACGCGGTTTATTTTGTGTGTAACAGTTCATTTTTGTACGTTTCACCCATAGTTGCCATAATCTTTGGATGCCAGGTAGCCATACCTTACCTTGAGGTATGGCTACCTCATACCAAGGTTGCCATTAGGGCAACCTTGGAATACATGAACACTAGAGAGAGCACCATCAGAGGGATGCGTGCTCTAGTATGTGTTCTTTCTCTTCCTTTCTCTTTTTGCTTCTTATTTTGCCTTTTTCTCTTGTCCATTATGCCTTCAACAGTTTTATATATTCTTATGCTAACTCGGTCTCATGGTGTTTCTTATCCCTCTCTCTCCTCTTCCCTCTTTCTTTATACGATATGATAACAGTCAAGTTTAAGCAAGTTCAGTGATATAATAATATACATCCCAAAAAGGACAGAGTGGCTTAGGCTATTTCTACCCTCTTATGTTTCTATTTTTACTTATATATACAAGCGTTCTTACATTCTTGTAAAGACACTAGCACGCATAGCCTTTCGGGCAGGTTCTTAATCCTAATTTTCCTTGGAATACGCCAAATGGTTTAACAACCTGGTACCCATTCACTGCCTGGGTGAACAGAGGCTACAGTTAAGGATTGGCGCCTAATCAATCCTCCCCGGCCAGGCTACGAACCCAGGAAAAAATCGCTTGCGAAGCGCGGGACGTGTGTTTTACCTCTGCGCCACGGGTTGTTGTTTTAGATTCAGCTACTCAGAACAAAATGTTGCAAGAAACAGAGGCTATGGACTGGCCCAAGAGCGGTGCCGTAACTGGCGCCACGGGGACTGCCTGAACTTTTAACCGTCCACGGCGGACGCTGGCACTTATTCCTTTTCAGAAGTGGTGTTGGGTGTATAGTTTAAAACATTTCCAACACCTAATTTTGTACCATAAATTAGAAATATCATAAATGTATAATAATACAAATATGTTGCCTTTATTAATGTAATTGGTATAATGGCTTCTGTTATCAGTAACATAATAAATGAATGTACACTGCTAACTGTTACCATCTTCCCCTTGCATGTACGGTGAGAAACTTGCCTTATCACACATCCTAATGCGTCCCACTCTTTATAACATTGACAAAGTCTTTAAAAGTACGACTAATTAACAGAACGTAAAGCGCATAAAATATTGACCGTTTTCTATGCACTGACCTAGATAGGTTAGGAGGGTTGCTCGGGTGCATAATCTTCTGGTTAGGCAAAATCTTTGCATTTCTGATGGAGAGGCCAGTCGGTAGAGCGGGCTTTATCCTCCTCATCACTATCATTACCACCGAGGGAACAAGAGATGCTCTTCTTAGTACTATTATTGAATTCTTATTTATTACGACTCCGCCGCTCCGACAAAAACACCAGAAATATTAGACAAGTTCCTGCAAGAGGTGCCGGACCAAGCAGGTTGTAGTGGAGTTGTGCTTACCTACCAGTGGCCACGGGGGAAAGTGAGGTCTAGCTCTACATATCCCGCCTATACGAGCCTTGTTGTACCCGTTGTTGCGTGATAGTTTGATTATTCTGACGTATAAAATTGTGTGGGTCTGCGGAAATTGTGGTTCCTCGCCACACAACATGAAGATAAACAATTTAAGCCACGACACATTGAACGTCAAGACCAACATGTCCTTCCTCTAAAAAAAAAAAAAGGCAGCTAGCTTTCTGGTCCGACTGTTTCTTCTTGTTCCCCTTCCCTTCCATTCCATCCCATCCCTTCGTCCGTCCCGTCTTGATCCCATTGATTGTTGCCCCCCCAGGCGGTTAGTTTATTGTGCTCCCATACTCATCTTGTCCGGTAGCCAAAAAGCATTACAGAGGGCCAAAAGGTCTTTATCAGACCCATCTTACAATTACCAAACAATTATCTATCCTTCACACTTATATACAATGTCCCGCTAGATACCTGGTGCCCTTCAAGAGCTACATATTTACAGTAAGTCATCATACATTGGTAGGTTTTATCGCTAATACATAATAGGACCAATGGGCCACCACAGTCATAGGGGAGCCTGGTGGTCCTCTACACTACTTGTTTCTGAATCACTATGTGATTCAACAAGAATCACTTGTAATAAGTAGGTTGAATCTTGTTGAATCACTTGTGATTTTACTTGCAAGATTTCAATCCAAGATATATGTTCGATGTATGTATGTCTTTGTCCAAATTTACACTTTACTTCATCTAGATCCCTATACAAGCCGACTGCCAGAGATCGGTACTTGGTCTTGTACTCGCTGTGACATGGACTGCCAGTCTACTGATTTTGGCCTCATCATGTTTTACTTCACACAGACGCTGCTCCAGGACCTGCTAGTTCCAGTTTGCACTGTTCTACTTTCTTCAATCGAGACAGAGTTCTCGTCTAATGACCCCTTTTAAGGACCTATTTGATAATTCAAGATTCCGTTCAATACTGTCTTTATTTACTGCAGCCTTAGCAAGGGCGTCAACTTTGTCATGTTCCTGCAGGCCAATGTGAGAAGGAATCCACAACATTTTTATATTTACCCTCTTGCTAAGTATTCTTATATATCTACGTCTAGTTTCCAAGACAAGCACGTTATTACTTGATTGCAAACTGTTTATTGCTCGTAGTGAGGATAGGGAGTCAGAAATAATTAAGCTGTCTACTTCAGTGTTGTCAATAATTTCGAGTGCTACCGCATGATGAAATTGTTTATGTAATAATCTAAGATGAGGTCTGATAAAGACCTTTTGTGCCCTCTGTAATGCTTTTTGCGCTACCGCTCACAGGATGGGTATGGGGTGGATAGTAAAAAAAAATCACTCAAATCACTCGTGCTGGACGCTCCCCGAACCCATTTTCCCTATGTATGTTGACCAGACCACACACTAGAAGGTGAAGGGACGACGACGTTTCGGTCCGTCCTGGACCATTCTCGAGTCGATGTATCGACTTGATACATCGACTTCCCTATGTATCTAGCGAGCCTATTTTTAAAGCTTGCTATATATATATACCATTGTCGCAATAATATTCGTCAATAACCTATTTGACCTGTGTTATAAGACCAGTACTCTCCCCCTACTCTTTCTTGAGCCTGGACGTCATCAGCTTACAGCCGTTGCTGATGAGTTCTGACAAGGTATTCCGTCGTGATGCTCTTCATCTGCTTGAAGACCTCAGTCCCGCCTCCCCCTCGCCGTCGTGCGCCTCTACAGGCAACGCAGAGCGAGCTCTCTCAACCTTTCCTCGCATAGGTCCCGTATAAGGATTAGTCTGGTCATCTTATGTTGGAATTTCTCGGGGGGAATCAAGGTCCACTCTGTAATCTGGCGAGCAGAACTGGCTGGGACGGTCCAAGCGGCACCTCATCACGGCCAACTGTAAATGCAAGACGTCACGGGCTATTCATTTTTACGGGCTCACCATAGCCCGTGCTACATTTTCGTTCTGAGTAGCTAAATCTAAAACAACAAGAGGCTATTCATTACATTTATTACGGGCTATTCATGCCCGTGCCACCTCTTGGGTGGCTTAATCTTCATCAATCAATCTGTACATTTATTGCTGGCGCTTCTAGTTATTCATCCAAGAATCCTATTCATTTTGCCACCTGTGTTGACACATTGCTGCCGGCGTGTATGGTGTATGCCAGCCATCACACCAATGTAGCTCTCAGCATTCTATCTGGCCAAACCTGTATCGTTCCTCCGGTAGATGACTCCTCCCTCATTTCCAGAGTTTAGAATTTTCCACTTATCAACGTTGAACTGCATCTGCCACTTTCCTGCCCAATTCTGTAATGTGAAGATCGAGGTTTTTCTGGAGGTCTGTCAAGTCCTCATTCCATTTTTTTATTTATGCCCCGAACTTCTGTGTCAATCGTAAATTTGCTGATATTCCCTCCCTAGGAGGCCCTGACAGCTAAGTGGACAGCGCTTCGGATTCGTAGTCCTGAGGTTCCGGGTGCGATCCCCGGTGGACGCCGAAACAAATGGGCAAAGTTTCTTTCACCCTAATGTCCCTGTTCACCTAGCAGTATATAGGTACCTGGGAGTTAGACAGCTGCTACGGGCTGCTTCCCGTAGCAGCTGTCATCAACACCGTTGATGTTCACACCGTTGATGCTCACACCGTTCATGTCCACACCGTTGATGTTCACACCGTTGATGTCCACACCGTTAATGTTCACACCGTTCATGTCCACACCGTTGATGTTCACACTGTTGATGTCCACACTGTTGATGTCCACACCGTTGATGTCCACACTGTTGATGTCCACACTGTTGATGTCCACACTGTTGATGTCCACACCGTTGATGTTCCACACTGTTGATGTCCACACTGTTGATGTCCACACCGTTGATGTCCACACTGTTGATGTCCACACCGTTGATGTCCACACTGTTGATGTCCACACCGTTGATGTCCACACTGTTGATGTCCACACTGTTGATGTCCACACCGTTGATGTCCACACTGTTGATGTCCACACCGTTGATGTCCACACTGTTGATGTCCACACTGTTGATGTCCACACCGTTGATGTCCACACTGTTGATGTCCACACTGTTGATGTCCACACCGTTGATGTCCACACCGTTGATGTCCACACCGTTGATGTTCACATCGTTGATGTCCACACCGTTGATGTCCACACCGTTGATGTCCACACCGTTGATGTCCACACCGTTGATGTCCACACTGTTGATGTCCACACCGTTGATGTCCACACCGTTGATGCTAACAACGATGTTTCCTAACCTTCAACCAGACTCTAATCCAAATGCGAACATTAACTCAAGACAGAGAACGTGGCTCTTGTTAGACCCTGTGTTGAGAGTCCTCACCCAGTCTTGTGTCAAGGCATTTTCTTATTGCGTTTGCTGTCCTTGCAAGCTACTGTAAGCTACACTGTAAGCTACTGTAAGCTACACTGTAAGCTACTGTATGGCAGTTCGCAGCACGGGATCTGCTCCTGTCCCTGTATACAGAGACCACGATGGTCACTCTCCACGTAGCCACAGCCGTCTTGATTGATGGTTAATTGTTTCTTAAAGGCTTCTCCGCGCGCCTTCAAGACTGCTGGCGATCACCTCATCTGGACCCAGCGATATATTTTGATTTAGTTTATTAATTGCTTTATTTATATCAGATTTTGAATTTTTTGTTTGTTTGTTTTTTTATAGTTTTTAGGTCAACGGCCGTGCTAGGTATTTATCTTTATGCAGTGCAAACCAAAGGTGTTCGGTCACCCACCCGCTGTGTTCGGTCACCCACCCGCTCTGCTCCATTCCCCACCCGCTGTGTTCGGTCACCCACCCGCTGTGTTCGGTCTCCCATCTGTTGTGTTCGGTCCCCCACCCGCTGTGTTCGGTCCCCCACCCGCTGTGTTTGTCACCCACCCGCTGTGTTCGGTCACCCACCCGCTGTGTTCGGTCACCCACCCGCTGTGTTCGGTCACCCACTCGCTGTGTTCGGTCACCCACCCGCTGTGTTCGGTCACCCACCCGCTGTGTTCGGTCACCCACCCGCTGTGTTCGGTCTCCCATCTGTTGTGTTCGGTCTACCCATCTGCTGTGTTCCGTCACCCACTCGCTTTGTTCCGTTCCCCACGCGCTGTGTTCCGTTCCCCACCCGCTGTGTTCGGTCACCCACTCGCTGTGTTCGGTCACCCACCCGCTGTGTTCGGTCACCCACCCGCTGTGTTCGGTCACCCACCCGCTGTGTTCGGTCACCCACTCGCAGTGTTCGGTCCCCCACCCGCTGTGTTCGGTCTCCCATCTGGCGTTTTTGGTCTCCTGCCCGCCAGTCAGGCAAGCAAGCAAGGAAGCAAGCGCTGAGACCGTTTACTCTCTCAGCCAGCGACATGGCGCCAAGCGACGTGAGTGTGGGGTGTCCATCAATCACACCCGCATCTCTCAACGCCTCAATAACTCCCTTTTTTTTTACCTTTAATTTTTGCAAACCAGTTCAGGCCTTTTTTCCCCTTGGAAGCTTCACACTTGAGGTTTCAACTTGAACAGGATATCACTCTCACGATGCTGCCGGAGCCTCGGCGTTTGTATCTACGGCCGCTTCACCTGACGCTACGTCGGATAACGGTAAGACACCCACTGCCTTCCCCGCCCACACCGGCCCGCCCACACCCGCCGCCATCCCGCCCACACCCGCTTCACCCCGCCCACACCCGCCGCCACCCCGCCCACACCCGCTTCACTCCGCCCACACCCGCCGTCACCCCGCCCACACCCCGCCGTCACCCCGCCACACACCGGCCCGCCCACACCCGCCCACACACCCCCGTCCCCCGCCCACACCCACACCCTCACTCCGCCCACACCCAGACCCTCACTCCGCCCACACCCGCTGCTCCTCCCCCCCCCCCCCCCACACCCGCTGCCTCCTCGCTCAGAGCAGCAACCCGGTTTCTCAAAAACCTGTTACACTAGATCTGAGACGAGACTTTTTTTGTATTGTCACATTTAAGTACATGTGCATTGTTGCAGCTGCCCTACACCGGGTGAGGGGTTACACAGCGTGCTCCTCCGTGATGCCGACACGTCCCCACCACAGCTTGGTCAGACACAGAGGGCCATGTGGTCAGGCAGGAGACAAAGGTGAGGTTGGTATGGTCTACGTCACGGGACCAGATTCACGAAACAGTTACGCCAGTACTTACGAACGTGTATAGCTTTCCTCAATCTTTGACGGCTTTGGTTACATTTATTAAACAGTTTACAAACATGAAAGCTTCCCAATCAGCTGTTGTTATTACTATAAACATCCTCCTGGTGCTTCGGAGATCATTAACTGTTTAATATTGTAACCAAAGTCGCCAAAGACTGAGAAAAGATGTACAGGTTCGTAAGTGCTTGTGTAACTGCTTCGTGAATCTGGCCTGTGTCGACCTCCATTGCGTCGAAGCTTTGAAAGTGAGCCGCTGCAGCGACATTCACAGCGCTTATAATCTTTACAGGGTTTATCACACAGTTGTAAACATGTAAACGCCTGCATATTAAGGTGTCTTGAATAATAAACAATTAGGAACACCGGGAGACACTGAAGATTCCTCGTTACTGTCAAGTCTCCAAGTCGAGGCCATTATGGATCGGAGATGGTGTAGTCAGACTCCTGAAGGCCCGCTGGATCAAGGATATAAGCAGCGGCCCTCGAGGATCTTGGTGAGAAGCCTGGCTGGCGCGGACCAGTCCAAAGACACCTCCTGGGAGTGTAGACGTGAGCGGCGACACCAGCGGTGACACCAGCGGCGACACCAACGATGACACCAGCGGTGACACCAGCGGTGACACCAGCGGCGACACCAACGGTGACACTAGCGGCGACACCAACGGTGACACCAGCGGTGACGCTGCGCATCCTGAAAGCTGGCTCCCACTTGTCGCTCAACGCCTCACAATCTCGGTAATAATTCCGCCATTTCCAATGGTAAATGATTAATTATGCTAAAGAGCAGACATCTGCCAAGCTTGTAAAGCCCTCGACAGAGCCCCCCCCCCCACCTCACACTACCAAACAAGCTGGAGAAGCTCGCAGGAGTGAGCCGGTGGCTACAGCAGTACCTGAACACCACAACACAACTTAAAAAAAAGTGACTTAAGCGCAGGGATGTTACAGGTGGTCAGTACGAGGGCCTCTCTTCTCACCTTTGTTAATGTAAATATTATGAGGCTAGGCTACGTGGGACCAAAGACTACAAACGGTGGGTGCTGGCAACATGAGGCCGGACACACGGTACCATTTGGGGGGAGAAGCCATTCACAACTCAGAAAAACCTGTGGGTTGATATCACATCAAACCGGTGTTCCGTAGCCTACATGTAACTGATATCATCACTTGTGAATGCTACATTGGTCAACATACTAACTGCCTTCACAGCAATTCTGGAATATGCTACAGAGATATTAGAAAGAATTTATCAGTGGTGGAGGCAGACTCCATACAGGCTCAGGATGAAGCCCCGACACATCCCTGCAGGCTCGGCCGCCGGCGTGCAGGACGCCTGAAGGCCAAAAACTCAACCCTCGCAAGAATAATTAGAAGAGAACAACCCGATGTTCTTAACAAGAAGGTTGAACACAGCTGTGCCTGAGAACTGCAACCCGTGCCGTCTACGACGACCCCGTGTGCACTTGTACGACAACCCGTGCCTCCTGTGACGACACATGTGCACCTGCACGACAACCCGTGCCTTCCCTTCCAACAACCTTACAGCCTAACAGACACACGTAGGCTGTCTGTTAGGCTGTAAGGCCAAACTTTCTTGCCGTTCCAGACCCCAGGAGGAGAGGATATTGCGTCGTGGGGAGCAGGCGGCTCTGTGGGTGAGGGGGGCAGGAGGGTGGAGGAGGGTAGAAGTTGTGGGGGATGGGGGGGGGGGCAGGACTGACGTAGCGAGAGGGGGGGGCTGAAGTTAACGGGCTAAAGACTGAAGTTGGCGAGGGAGGGGGGTGGGGGTGAGGGAGCTGACGAGTGTGAGGGTAGTTTAACGATTAATATGAGGATGTAGGAGATGGCTGGAGATTAATATGAGGATGTAGGAGGGAGCTGGGGATTACTATGAGGATGTGGGGATTGATATGAGGGAGTCAGGATGCAGGGGGAGGGTTGGATTTTAATATGAAGGTGTGAGGATGGAAGAGGAGGACTGTGGACTAATATGAGGGTGTGAGGGTGCAGGAGGAGCAGCGTGACCAGAGCAACAATGAGGCGGACAGGAGGCAACACAGAGTCCAGCTCGGCTGACTGACGGACCTGATAGTTGCTCTCCGCCACGAGGTACAGGGAGGCGGGGTACTGAGTGTCAGTGAGAGAGAGAGAGAGAGAAGGAGAGAGAGAGAGAGAGAGAGAGAGAGAGAGAGAGAGAGAGAGAGAGAGAGAGAGAGAGAGAGAGAGAGAGAGAAGAGAGAGAGAGAGAGAGAGAGGAGAGAGAGAGAGAGAGAGAGAGAGAGAGAGAGAGAGAGAGAGAGAGAGAGAGAGAGAGAGAGAGAGAGAGAGAGAGAGAGAGAGAGAGAGAGAGAGAGAGAGAGAGAGAGAGAGAGGAGAGAGAGAGAGAGAGAGAGAGAGAGAGAGAGAGAGAGAGAGAGAGAGAGAGAGAGAGAGAGAGAGAGAGAGAGAGAGAGAGAGAGAGAGAGAGAGAGAGAGAGAGAGAGAGAGAGAGAGAGAGAGGAGAGAGAGAGAGAGAGAGAGAGAGAAAGAGAGAGAGAGAGAGAGAGACGAAGGGGGGGAGGTTGACCCAGATGTGTTTCTACCTGATTATTCACTATGAGTGAGCTGGTTTTTAGAGGGAATCAGAAAGCAGTTTGAGGGCAAGGAATATCACTGCACCTTGCCACCAGACACGGCAGAATGCACTTGGAAGCCTCACATTGTGTATTTACTATTTGTGTCTGCAGAATCGAGCTATTAGCTCTTGGAGTCCGCCTTTCTAACCAATCTATTTTTCCCTCTATTATATATACTTCATATATTTCTCTAACGTACACACACACACATCCCCAGGAAGCAGCCAGTAGCAGCTGTGTAACTCCCAGGTACCTATTTACTGCTAGGTGAACAGGGGCATCAGGGTGAAAGAAACTCTGCCTCTTTGTTTCCGCCTCCGTCGGGAATTGAACCCGGGTCATTAGGACTACGACCCCCAAGCGCTGTCCACTCAGCCGCGAGCCCCCCCCCCCCATTTTTCCGGTGAAGGTGTGTGTGTGTGTGTCGTACATTGTAGCTGCTCGCTATGCTCCACCCTGATGAAGGAAAACCCAGTGTTCCTCCTATCAGATTAACATACAGTGATTTGCCAATCCCTGTTGTTACTGGCCCCGAAGCCATGTATATGAGTGGGATTGGGTGGTTAGAAATAGGAGCTGCCTCGTATGGGCCAATAGGCCTTCTGCAGTTACCTTTGTTCTAATGTTCTTATGTTCTTAAGAAGCCGTTCCAACGCTGACGGCAACAGGCCGCCCTGAGAGCCAAGATGAAGATGCTTCCCTGGGCGCTCCTAACTCCTCACCGAGAGCACCTCAAGGGTACTGTTGGTCCAGAGTGATCCACAATATTGCTGATCTCACAATAGTGGACGCGAAGATCCTCCATGTTGGGTCTGAATGTACAGGATCCTATGAGCGCATAGGATCATATATTCATACTTTGCAAGTCTCCTCTTGCAAGTGTGAATATGGACGATGTAAGGACACTATCGAAGTCACCAGTTCAATGTTCACTAATGAGTTTTCTCGTATGCTTCATGAGATTACCAATGTTCACACAGCTAGACACATGTATATGTTCACAGCTGTGTGTGTGTATAAGATCTCTTTCTTTGTCTACCGCAAGCCTGTGCACTGTGGTATGTTCAATTTTTTAATTCTTTTCCTACCACTCACCTCCTGTGAAGAAAAGTGTTCTCGGCTTCCTCTTCAGCTCCGGGCCCTACGCATTAGTAACCCTCAGTTTCTTGAATCTGAAAATTCTCTTATTAACAAGTCTTTCTCTCGCCTTGGTTACTTATCTCTTAAATTTCATCAATTATGCCTGTTCTCGAGCTAAAGCTATTTTTTGTTTATGTCAAACTTGCTTTCAACACTAGAAACACAGCCCGAGCCCGAGCGTCAAGGACAGGGGGCACGTCGGCCCGAGCGTCAAGGACAGGGGGCACGTCGGCCCGAGCGTCAAGGACAGGGGGCACGTCGGCCCGAGCGTCAAGGACAGGGGGGTACGTCGGCCCGAGCGTCAAGGACAGGGGTACGTCGGCCCGAGCGTCAAGGACAGGGGCACGTCGGCCCGAGCGTCAAGGACAGGGGGCACGTCGGCCCGAGCTTCAAGGACAGGGGGGGGGGGTGCACGTCGGCCCGAGCGTCAAGGACAGGGGGCACGTCGGCCCGAGCGTCAAGGACAGGGGGCACGTCGGCCCGAGCGTCAAGGACAGGGGGCACGTCGGCCCGAGCGTCAAGGACAGGGGCACGTCGGCCCGAGCGTCAAGGACAGGGGGCACGTCGGCCCGAGCGTCAAGGACAGGGGGCACGTCAGCCCGAGCGTCAAGGACAGGGGGCACGTCGGCCCGAGCGTCAAGGACAGGGGGCACGTCGGCCCGAGCGTCAAGGACAGGGGGGGGCACGTCGGCCCGAGCGTCAAGGACAGGGGGC